GAGACCATGCGTCCGAGTGGCGGTAATCACGCACATAGGAAGTGAGAAGGGAATTGAGCGAGGAAACGTCTCTTTGAGGCAATTCGTCGAACAGGTGGTGGGTGCCGGAGCAGAAGCTATCGGAATAACGGGAATTGAAGGAGCTGGTGCGTGGGTTCAAAGCAGAAAGAGAGGAAAACGAAATGGGAATACAAAATCCAGAAAAGGGGTTACCAATATACAGAGGTTTGATTAGGGAACGCATTGCTCGGACATTTGGGACGAACTGGCCTTCAGAGACATTGCGCTTCGACCATGTTTTTTTTTGGAGCGTAATCAAACTTAAGAGTTGGTCTTTATGTAATTCAAATCCCCCACCAAAAAACTAGGAGACAAACACTCCCAAGGCTGTCTTTGCTCCTCTAGAATTTATGATATAATAGATTTGAAATTGAACTGAATTTCGTGATCTGCTATTCTTATCAAATACCGTTCATCAAGACCGTTAAACACATATTGGACCAACAAGGACTTTTTCTTTTTCTCCTTATTTTATTTTAGTTCAACAATTGCAACAATTGCAGCATCAGGTATTCAACTTTCAACGTTAAAAAAAATAATCGATGTTTTATCTATTGAGTTATATTCGAATCGGTGACTAACGAGCAATGATTGGACAAGAGAGTTGGTTCCCGAATAAAATGATTGGACAAGAGAGTTGGTTCCCGAATAAAATAAAGACAAGTGTCGCATAAAATTTGGAACCTGCAAACAAAATATATTTTAAGTCGATTTATTTTAGTAGGAATTTGAAATAATCTCATGTTTACATTTTTTTTACCGGCTCGCCATTTTTTCATATGAGTATCAAAGACCCAACCCCATGAATTATAGTTTGATGGTGATTTTGGCATTTGTCATGGTCAAAACCATCCTGTTCGATAAATTAAAAAATAGATTTTATGAAAGTTCAAAATCGCTTTAAATTGATTTTTAAGATATTACTTGGATGATGATTTTGAAAAGTAAATTATACTTAAATCTCTTTTTTCGAAATCACTAATTCTACCGATCATTTTCAAACACACTCTCATTCTACTCATCTTTCCAATTTTAAGTTGTTAAGTTTGTGGCTATGGATTTAGAATTTAGGGTTTATGATGACAGCATTGGTGATTCTATTCCATTTATGACACCCAAACAAAATCACAATCAATTGATGGGAAAAAAATCTACAAAGTTACACAATTGATACCACTAACCATCTTACTACTTGTCAGCAGATTCCTAACAAATAAGTCCATCTCATTCTCCAACACTACAATGCTTGAATTCTTCCTTCATAGCCATAGTGCTTCAAGAGCCCTTCATCTTGCCGCCAATTTTCTCTCACTTTAACTTCAACCTGTTCAGTGTTCAAGCATGATTTTGTTTAAGACATACCTTTTGAGGCAGGATAAAACACAACCGAATGCATTCAAGTAGACTGGCTCAGCAGTGGCAACACAATTAATACATCAACGAGCATCTTTGCAATCACAGGGCGATAAGAAGTAAGAAATGGTACCTCGAGATAGACTTTCTTCTGTAAGAAATCTTCTATATCGAGGCGAGCCGCTGTCGCGAGGAGTTTCAGAGCCTTTCCTTCCTGTGAAGAATCAGAACGCAGTGTTGGGAGAGATTTTCCAGAAACCATAGGAATATAGTTACTACTTGTGAGTCACGTGATGTAAGGTCCAACAACATTAAAGAATTATTTATGAAGAAAAATTCATCATGTGAATAAAGGAAGTATGCAGCATGAAAGTTCTCGAAATTATCCTACGAGGCCTTCAGAAAACTGCTTAATTTAGTCAACCGGGAGCACTGATATTATAAATCATTGGATGCTTTAGACTCATGAACAACTATATTACTAAAACTTACAAGATGGCCTATGTCTATCATAACTACTTACCTTCCCGATGAGAATGATTTTCTGAGAATTTTTCTCCACAACAATTTCCGCTTGAATAAAATCTTTTGCACCTGGTCTACTCTTGTAGCTCACCACATTCACCTGGAGAGTTTCAAGGACAAAATTCTAGTATTTAGAAATTCTTTTCAAGACTATTAATAATTGATAATGAACAAGAAAACGAAAAATAAAAATAGTAGAGTTATGCACCTGACATGCATAAGGAACTTCATTGCGGTATTGCATAAATATCTTTTCTCTGACAATTTCAGAAACAAAAAACCTTTCTGGATGCTCACTGACTATGTCCTGAAAACTCAAAAGAAACAAGGTAAAGGTTTTCCTATTAATCCAATTATGAATGAAAAGACTAAAGTTTTTCAAAAAATTACAGGTCTTAAAGAGGAGGGAATGTTTATACATCAATGGGATAGGTTGAGAAGTAGTTTGACTATACCACCTGGAAGTATTAGATTCTATTGTAAGAAAAATTGTAACCGTATAATCAAATCAAAAAGACGTTCCTCAATGAATAGATCCAACATAATATCAACAAACTATCCAGCTTCAAAGCCACTACCAATTCCTGATATTTCACTCTTGTATTATATTAGAAATCTTAATCATAATCTTGACTTTCTTCTACACCAATCAGGACATGTTGACCATGCTAAAAGTATGGACATAGGCTAAATTCAATTTGGTAATAAGCCAGATTTTTTACTGACAGTTAAAAACAAGTTGTCAAGGATTTTTAACTGAGATGAAAGTACTATCCATAATCCATATCAACTCCTGGTACACTTATAGCTCACTGTAAGAGACTTATATTAACTATCAGAAAAAGCGTTCAGATTGCATAGGGAAGAAAATGAAACATGAAGGCAATATGTATATTGCCCTGGAACTAGAGAAGTGGCATTTTTTAACAAGTTGCATCAAATTGCTAAAATAACGAGAAGCGTGGTTATATACCACTTTCTATGAACCAATTGATATGATAATGGTGCAATCTCATTAGTAGGACACCAAAAGATTATCAACTACAAACAGAACAATATAAAATGAAAATTTTCAAGTCTCCAGTGTCCAAATATTTCAATTTTCAAATGGGTTTAAATATTAATCATTATGGCCCATTCTCAGATGTAAAGCGTAACGAGATCAAAAAGGCTTCACTAGGTACATACCTTTGGATAATAAGCTGGCCCAAGAGGGAGTTTCGAAAGTATCCATTCCTTCACATCTTCCATGCCATGGCCATACTTGGCGCTCACAGGTATAACTTCATCAACATTAGTAAATTTCTCGAACCACTGAAAGACGAGATTTCTTTGAGGCAAAACAAAATTTTAAAAAATAAAGTGTAAGAAAGGAGTTTTTTTAAATGAGTCTACTCGAACACACCTAGAAAAACATCAAGCAATGAATTCTGACCTCAAGTTTTTTTGCAATTTCACCTGGTTTGATCAGATCTTTTTTATTCAAAACCAGCAAGGTGGGAGGCATTTCTTTGAGGTCTCCGACACCTTCTTCCAACACCTCATCAATCTACAATCCCAAATAAAAGAAACAAATGTAAATCTAGGAAAAGAAAACAAAACCACACATTCAAAAGCAATTCTGAACTCGAGACAACATACTTTTTGAGGCGCTGTACATGCATCAACGACAACCAAAACACAGTCTGCATTAATGGCGGCGCTGCGCACATTCTTCATCATCATGGAATCCAATTTGTGCATTTTCTTTTCAATGACACCAGGTGTGTCATAAAGTATCACCTACAGGTAAGTGATTAACCACATAAATATGGTATAACGTGTGCACTTTAAAATTTTGTTCTACATTCTCAAAAGTGCTTTAATAGCTTCTCTAACCAGCACTTGAGCTAAAAACACCCCACAAGTATTTTCTCACAAATTGTTAGAAGTAATTTTGACTTTTTTCAAAAGTACTGATAACTCATTTCAAACTGGATGACTTTGGGTGGTAATGGCAAACATGTTTGTAGCCGCATTCACATATGTAGGTATTATCAGAATTTTCAAAATCACTTTTGGCCATGAAAATTTTTCAATCCAACTAAAATATTTGTCAGCCTCTTAAATTTCATACCAATCTGAACTTTAACATGCTATTTGAGCTCTAAAATAAGTATATTCTAATCCATAATGAGTAAAATCAAACCTGATACTCTGGCCCAGAACATATACCCAGAATCCGGTGCCTCGTCGTTTGAGGTTTATCCGTAACAATGGAGAGCTTTTGCCCTAACAATTGGTTTACAAGAGTACTCTTCCCAACATTCGGCTTCCCTAGCAGAGCCACATATCCTGAAATTTCATCAATAACCACTCACAATTCCAATTTCTCTCTCTACAGAACAAGAGGGACAGAGATAGAGAGCGAGAAGTAAACAAACCGCTTCTATGGTTACGGTCGCAGGCATATCCAAGCTCCTCCATCTCGTAGTCGTCGAGCAACGTCAAATTCCTATCAGGCTTCTCATTAAGAGACAAGAACGATGGCTCATCATCGGAGTACGAAGAGCTCGTCTCTTCCCCATCTATTTCTCCTTCTTCAACGAACTCATCATCGCTAATGCTAACCAATTGGTCCTTCAACACGGAACTCCGCGTTCTGGGTCGGAATCGGAATGGGGAGTGGGCTTCTCGGAAAATGCTCTGGGAAAATTGAGAGAATGAGGTTTGCTTCTCGGGCCGGGAAGTGAAGATAGCGTTAGAATAGGAGTAAGGAGGAGTGTGGAATTTGCTCCGGGGAAGAGTCGCCGGCGCCTGTAACGCTAGCTCCATCGTCGGAGCTCCAGCGAGGAAGCGAATCAGACTGTTACAGTGGTTGTTGATAGCTCGTTTCTTCGCGATTTGCAGACAGTGGAGTAGTAGATAACCATTAATACGGCATCGTTTTGGTACCAAGAACCAGGAGGTCCAGGCAGGACCCCCAAGTTTGGGCTTAAATCTGCTTCATAATGTAAGGGCTTTAGGTGTAAAAATGGCCCACATTCTATTGGGCCTCTGAAATCGAGCCCATAACCAGAGAGGGGAAAAAACTGCTCTCTGCTGATGTCATCTTTGCGAAATTACAATTTTGCCCTCACAACTTAAAACGTGGAAGGATTACTGCCAAGGATGAAAGTGACATTTAAGTCAAAACCTCGTGAATAAAAAATATTGAGTTATCAAATTTATGGGAAAAGTATGTCTTAAGTTGTAATTAAATTTTAAGGTAGGACTTCACGATTCACGTGGAATTGCGGACTTGTTTTCCAAATTATTTTGTAAATAATTCTATATAAATAATGATTTAAAAAAAATTGTTGGTATTAACATTAGTGGGAGTTGCAAAATATTCAAATTATTGTGAAGTTATTTATAAATTCGTTAACTTCTTAAAAAAAATATATAATTTTAAGATCACTTTAGAGTATGTGACTATTACTATGGTACCACTCAATTTTTAAGTGCTCGAAAATTTGGCTAAACCATTCGAGATATCTTTAAGTTTTCAAAAATTCATTTTTCACATGACTTTTAGAACTGAATCAAAATGTGCCCCTAAAAATTTTATCCATAAAACAAGTGATGAAAATTGACATGGGTTGTTGAGTCGTAAATTGAATAATGACGAACATAACTTTTTGAAATACATGACAAGTATTGGTAACAACTAGACAATCACTTATATGACGATGGGTTAAAAATGAATAGCAAAAATAGGTCAAAAGCTCATCAATTTTTTCTTTTTCTTTCACATGACCTTAAATTCTAACACCACCATCAAATACAAACCACCAACTCATTGCTACTAAATAGAAAACATAATACCACTTGAAGTTTTATATCGATGAGGTTAAATTATTAATTTGATCATTATCATTTAAACTTAATTTCAATTTTTAGTCACTATAGCTTTAATGGATTAAATTAAACCTCACAAATAATCTCTAAGCTGTTGTTTATCTGTTTTTTACCCTAACTTCTAAGTCAGTAAAATGCAAAACACCACCTTATTACCAGATAATTAGAAAACTTAAGTTGCATAATAAGGGTAATTTGTGAGATTTGCTTAAATCATATAGAACCATAATAAAAACAAATTGAAACGAAATTAAAGACTACAAAAAACAAATGTAAAATTTAACCAAATTAATAGAATAAAAGAAACTATGTATTTATTTTAGTTGCTTTCCACTAGTCCTTTTCCGTCCAAGAACGCCGAAAGTGAACTCATAATGCTGTAAAGTGTCAAACATTAGCGCACGCGAATTTAGTAAACTAATGCAAATTTTATATTGCTTGATGCCTCGACTTGAATAAAGACTTTGACCTACCAATAAGGTTTATTTGTTGATTTCTCCAAAGTTCCTTTCGAGGGTGGGATTGAATTGAGTTCAAATATTTTTTAGACTAAATTTTAATTCTAACCTAAATAATCTTTGGATTGTGTTTGACTCAAATTATTCCGGTAAAATATTGTGTGACAAAAAAAATTAGACTAAAAAGACTTTGAAAATATACTTTTAAAAGTTGCTGGAGAATAACTAATCTTTAAAGAATTATTGAGCAATTAGAGTATTGAATGAAATAAAATCAAATAAATTTATATTGTTTTATCACAAGTAAAAGAAATTATTTTCTCTAAAAAAAAGTAAAAAAAATAATAATAATTTCAAGTTAAAGGACAGCCTCCCATGTCCAATGGTGGAGGAGGAAATCTTCTTTTTAGACTTGCCTTAGGCACATTTGGACTTACGGAACCTGGTTTCAAATTGAGGAAAAAATCGTTCTCAAAGAAGCGTGGCCAGCTAGTTGAATCTCGTTACCGTCCCGTGTGGTTATGTGGTTACCATTCAACTCAAATTTATTTTAGATGAACGAGTGAACCAACTCAATTCTTAAAGTTTTCATTTATTTGAATCCGAGATTGAGTAAAAAACAAATTTATAATCTAACTCAAACTGTACGGATGGGTTAGGTAGATTAGATTTTTGGGATACACCCATCCTTTTTACATGATACATCTATCTCTTCAATTATTGACCTCTAAAACCGCACATGGAAACTCCACACTGGCAAAAATAATCGTTCACAATCTCACCTTCCTCAAAAGATTTTCTTTTCTTTCTTTTTTGAAAGAAGACTTTTAGGAAGTGATAATAAAGTCTGGCTGGCCACATTAGGCCTTTAAATTTCTGGAGCATTATTTTAAATTTTTGTTTGTTTGTTTGTTGAGAATGAGAGATAGTTTCTGAAAATTGACTAAAAAGAGAATGGAAGCCAAGATTCATTGAATTGGCATCAAAAACTGTACCTCTCTTTTCCCTTTTAGAATTTCCAGATATCTTCCATGTTTCTTTTTAAATTACCCTTTATAAGTTCTCGCTTCGGTTCTTCGGTAAAAGGAAAAAAAAAAAAAAAAACTTGCCATTAAATAATTTTATTAACCTATTCAGACGCGTAAATATGTCTCTCAAATATTATTTGTTACATTTCATTTAACTCTTCCATCAATGAAATTCATTTCTTCTCAACCATTTGCTTACTTGGTTCTTTTATGGAAGAATTTGATAGTTTATTTTTAAATATACTATAAATAAATGAACAAATTGTGTATATTTCATCGTGATAGTTTATTTTTGTCGTTTTCATCTCGATATTCATAATACTATTTTGTGATTAACCAATGACTTTTATTTTTATGAGAAATTGATGATCCACTAAAACTAAACGACAAATTTTACTCGAGCATTAAACCTAAATAAATTCACAGAGAGGCAATTGTGATAAATTAGTTGAAAATTTTCTATAGTGCATATAAATTTGAGTTGGTTTTTAGCCAAAACCAAACCAACTCAAACAATTTTCTTTTCTTAAATTGGTCCATCACAAACAAAGAAACTCAATTATTATTCAGTCATATGCTCCAAAAAAATGAAACAAACACAAAAATGTATTTTTTCATATATTGGACCAAGTCATGAACCAAAAGTAGCTAGCTGTTTGTGGGGCAGGCGTAGAAAATGACATTTTAATTTTATAGCTCTCTCTCTCTCTCTCTCTCTCTCTCTCTCTCTAAACACTGAACTAAAATAGTAATCACAATCAGAAAGCACTTTAATGAGAAGAAAAAGCAGAAGAAAAGGATGCCATTAAAGTGAGGGCCAAACATTGCCGATTGGCTCTTCCTCTCTGGACTCTGAATTCTGATGTCAAAGTACAATGGGATTCCCACTCTTCCTCTCCACTCTCTTTCTTTTTCTTCTTCTCTCCTATTTTCCAACCAACTGTGGTGAACTCTCTCGAAAAATAATGGTTTCAATATTAAATTATAAACCCATTTGTTGAGGTTGGATTCTAGACTATGTGACACTTCAGTTTCATATTTGTAGTGGACACCTACTCACTCAAGTTAAGTACCTAACTATGCATACTTGATTATGTATACTTTAAAGGGACGATTCTATGTTTTATAAGGGAGTTTTGGGAAGCGTGGCTCTGCCATTTTTGCATCATATATAGACAGTGGATTTTGTGTCGGTGACATATGCTTTTTCCATATTCGACATGGAGCTGAGTTTCCGTTAGACTGATCATAGGTGATTTAGCATATCTCATTTTTCTTTAGATTGTCTGAACTGAGACCCAGACACGTGTTTTAAAGTGAGAGTTATTTACCATGGTAGACTCTAAATTTACCTATAATACTAGCAAAGACCAACATTGGCATAGTTTCAACATGCCTTTACAAAAAAATATATATTTCTTCTCTTGAGAATTTTAGGTTCAAATTCCTACCTTCCATAATTGTTGTATTAAAAAAATACAAAAATAAAAACAAAAGCACATTAATATTTTAAATTGAAGCTTTTTGGTCCACGTGTCTTTATTTATTTATTTATTTTTCACTTTAACCGGTTTAAGTAGTTTACTTAAAGTGAGGATTTCAACTTCCAATATCAAAGCAAGGAGTTATACATCTTAACCGCATAAGTACGTTGATATTGAAAAATTTCACCAAGATATGTTTAAATTTTTTAAGACTGGTTGGACGATTATTCTCCCTACTACTTCTCGGCTACTTTTTCTTCGTCGTCTCTATTTTTTTTTTCTCAACTTGAATTCAGTACCGTAACCTCCTCCTCCCTACTCTCTTATTCATCTCAATTTTTTTAACTTGATGATGCAACTCAAATTTACATGATAAAAATGAAATACATCTTCACAAATTAAATGACTGTCGAGAAGTCGCACAATATAGTTTGTTTTCTCCTCTATTATTTCGTTACGTGTCTTCCTCCTAATTTTATATGGAGACTTTTGTAGCTTTTTGTTCGTAGCCATTTTTTACAAATGGATGTAATTGAAAAAGCTTTGGAACATTAGATTCTAAGTTGTTCTTCTTTCGACCAAATATGAGTTCTGCATCAAGTTAGGGGAGGAAGAAGAGAGAAAAAGGAGGTGAGACGATTTAGGGAGAGAGAAAGATGGTAGAAGAGTCTTGAAACCACTTTAAAAAAACTAAAATAAATTATGTGATCATACAAGTTTTAATAAAATAATTATTAAAAAAAAACAATAGCAAGGACTTGTCATCATATTATGGAACCATGTGGACGTATTATTAATTTCTTATTGGAATCCAAGTTTTTTCTTGATTGATTAGTACTAATCTTTTTGTTATCCACTATTAAATTTTTGACAAATAAAAAGAGAAAATAAAATTTTTTCTTTTTTAAATAAAGAGTTGGCAAATTATAGTCATGGTCAAACTCCTCGGAGTAAGTATCTAAATATTTTTCATATACCTATCTAAGTGGAAAATAATTGTACTTAGACCATAGTTGATAAGATCTATCTTCTGCTCTTAGTTTTTTTTTAGAGATATTTTCTTTATCTAAAATCACCAACGACATATTTCTATAAGGAAAATATTTTATGGAACAGATTTTTATTTTTTATTTTTCCATTTAAATTTTAGACATTCTTTATTTATAAAATTATACATCTATGATTTTAAAGTACACTCTCCTCACATCACACACACTCTTGATGTAGCCAAGTTCGTTCTTCGTTGCAGAACTTTCAAACCAACCCCTCCACCGAAAACTCCCTCCCCAGAACTTTGATCGGAGCGCCGCCGCCACCGCCGCAGCGCCATGTTTTCTAGCAAAGAAATGCCGTCTCCACAGTCATTATTCTCGGCTTACGCGTCAATGGCCGGCTCCCTAATGCTGTTCCGATCAATGGCCAACGACCTGATCCCCGGCCCGATCCGGTCTTACATCGCCGCCGCTGTCCGCCGCCTCTTCAATTCCTCCTCCCCTCTCCTGACCCTCCTGATCGAAGAATCCTCCGGCATGTCCCCCAACCAAATCTACGACGCCGTCGACACGTACCTGTCGACGAAAATCACTCCGGCCACCGCGCGCCTCCGCATCACCAAATCCCCCAAAGACAAATCCCCCACCCTCCGCCTCGAAAAGGGCGAGAAATTGGTGGATTCCTTCGACGGCATCGAGCTCCTGTGGACCTTCAATTCCCACGACCACGACAAATCCAGCAACACCCCCAACAACAACGCTCTGTTTCCGGGCGGCAGAACAGAGCGCCGCTACTTCGAGCTCCAATTCCACAAAACCCACTACCAAAAAATCCTCCGATCCTACATCCCCCACCTCCTCGATCGCGCCGCCGCCATCAAGAACGAATCCAGGGCTCTCAAAATGCACACCATGAGCAGCTCCGGCTGCTACAGCGGGAAGTGGGAGGCCGTCAATCTGGAGCATCCGGCGACGTTCGAGACGGTGGCGATGGAGGCGGAGCTGAAGAGGGCGGTGATGGAGGATCTGGACAGGTTCGTCAAGAGGAAGGAGTTTTACAAGAGGGTGGGGAGGGCGTGGAAGAGGGGCTATTTGCTCTACGGCCCGCCGGGGACCGGCAAATCCAGCTTGATTGCGGCCATGGCCAATTACTTGAAGTTTGATATTTATGATCTGCAGCTCGCCAATGTGATGCAGGATTCCGATCTCAGGAAGCTGCTGTTGACCACCGGGAATCGCTCCATTTTGGTGATCGAGGATATTGATTGCACGGTCGAGCTGCCGGACCGCCGCCTCGGCGATTGGCCGCCCTCCCACTCCGCCGAAATTCAGGTCAGCCGCTCCATTTCATTTCTCTTTTCGGGTGATCGAACTTCGGACTTCGAGATACATACAATTATCGTTTAATTATGCACATGTTAATTTTTTTTTAATTTAAAAATAATTCTTAAAGACTAATAGAAAGGTAGCAAAAAAAAAAAAAGATTCCTACCGACCAGTAGATATGGGTTACTAATTAAATTCATTTAGAAATTTAAATGCCCGAGATCAATTTTTGAATAAATCTCCCCAAACAGAACTAGAACATTTGTTTTTCTTCCCCCTGAAATCTCATTATTTTGTAATTTCTCGGAGATACGTGAGAACAATCTTTTTAATCGGGCTTAATTGAAATTAGAAATATTAAAATCTAAGACGAAAAAATTAAGTTGTCGAGCATCTTGTTTTTACTACGCTTTTGCTAATAATGAATTCGTTTTTTTAATTTGTTTTCTCCTTTGTAGAGGAAATATATAAGTAAGGTATTTCTTTGTTTTCTCAAACAATGCAAGTCACTTCTTCTTTTTAAACTTTTATAGTTCAAGCCTTAACCATCCTTTTAATCTTAGCCAACTTCACGTTTATTTATTTTATATAGGGAAAGTGCTCTCAAAAGTGTGACAAAAAAGGGAGTCTTATTAGATTAGTGGAGGATAAAGTTGATTAATTATACAATATTAATCCTTTTTTTCCCTTTATCTTGTTCTACATGTAATATACATATGTATATTAATTGTGAAAGTGTAAGCCAACTTTACCCATAATTAGTCCAATTTTAAAGGAACAATCACGTGAAACTATTATATTGGACATTCAAAAACTTATAAATATTAAATATCTTTGAGTAGATAAGTTCATATATATATATATATATATTATCATTTTATTTGGAGTGGAGTACAATACTGACTTTTGCTTTTCATCTGAACTAACAAAAAGAAAAACAAACAAATTGCTTTTTGTACCTTTTTCTTTTAATTTTGTTATCTTCCAGTAATTATTGGATTAATTAACTTAGCTCTATTTCAAATAATATCAAACTCTGGGTTTCGAGATTAATACTTAGTGAAACATTTAAAAAAATCAAAACTAAAAAATACTTAACAAAAACATCATAATATATAATTTAAAAAGTTATTTTAATTAGCCAACTAGTTAAACTATTTATCTTGGACTAAAAAGTTTTAAAGTTATTTGTTTAAATTTATTTTTTGTACATGAACTTTTAAAATATCATTTTAGTCTACTTCTTTGCATTAATTGCTTTATAGATAGATAGCATGATTATGAATATGTGGCGAAATTTTTAGTACCAAAACCAAATTTGAACTATCCACGACGCTTTTGGTATCGTTTCCACTTTAATAATTGTGCGTTTTCTTACTTCTTATTTTTAAAAAATATTTATAAAATTGTATAGAAATTTTAGAAAGGACCAAATCAAGTTTAATTTCTTGTTTATCATTATTGTTTCTAATTTTTTTTTCTACAACACATATAAACGTTTTGTTAATATAATATAAAAAATTTAAACATTTAAGTTAGAAAAAATAATTTTTTGTTTTGTTTGTTTGCAGTTGACGCTGTCAGGGCTTTTAAACTTCATAGACGGGCTATGGTCAAGCTGTGGCGACGAGAGGATCATCGTGTTGACGACGAACCACAAGGATCGGTTGGACCCGGCGCTGCTCCGGCCGGGGCGCATGGACATGCACATCCACATGTCCTTCTGCAGTTTCCACGCCTTCAAGCTTCTGGCCGCCAACTACCTCCAGATC